ACTTTTCCCTCCCCTCACACCCTCCCTCCCTCTCTGTTCCCTCCACCATACACCCGCCCTCCCTCTTCCCACCACCACACACCCTCTCTCCCTCTGTTCCCACCACCTCACACCGTCCCTCCATCCCTCTCCCTCTCTCTGTTCCCTCCACCACACACCCTCCCTCCCTCTCTCTGTTCCCACCACCACACACTCTCCCTCCCTTCTGTTCCCTCCACCACACACTCTCCCTCCCCTTCTCTGTTCTCTCCACCCAAATGGGGAAGGAGTGAAGGGAAATGAAAGGGTAGAGGTGGTGACGTTTTCCCTTCCATGGCCGTGATAGAGACAATGTTGTGAAGGCTCAAGTTGGAGAGAGAGAGAGAGAGAGAGAGAGAGAGAGAGAGAGAGAGAGAGAGAGAGAGAGAGAGAGAGAGAGAGAGAGAGAGAGAGAGAGAGAGAGAGAGAGAGAGAGAGAGAGAGAGAGAGAGAGAGAGAGAGAGAGAGAGATACAAAGGGAAAATGAGACAAACAATAGACCAAAGGACACACACAGATATACACAAACAAGAGAAAGAAATGCAAACATAAGAGATTTAAAAATTAACTTTGTGTCGTTAATTTGAGAAAAAAATCTGTATAAACTTGTAAAAGGTTTTATGATTTACTGTGTGTGTAGAGTGAAGGTCACCAGCGCCATCAGGAGTGACAGTTCAGCTCACACCTGCACAACACAACACCTGAATGACGCTAACTAATAAGCCCTTTGTGTCGTCAATGATAATCGTTCACCCCACAGCACACTTCACACCACTACCACTATTATTACTCTTTTAGTAAATGACCTCCAACCTCTCCTTGTAGCCACGCCTTGGCCACCATTTTATTACCTAAATATCCTAATACAAAACTAGCTACCCTAGCTGTGTTGAGTTAGTTAAACCGCCTATCTGTTCGGCATTCAGTGACTGTTGCCTCAGTCAATTTCTGCGACTGTTGTCGGCTTTGGGGCCGAATATCTTGTTCCCCTGAGGCAAAGCAACGCAGACCTAAGCAGAGAGAAGGACGGTCGACATCTCAACCAGGCTGCACCGTAACTTCTGGGCTGCTGCCTTTGTTCGTATAATACCTCGGCCACACCAGCATAGAAGCATCTTGCACTTGGTCCAATCGACCATATAAGTTGTGAAGCTGCCCTGATCCACGTTCTGAATTCTCTGCGCTTATTCCCTGTTCTTGTCGTTCTTGTCCCTCCTGAGTGCAACCTCGAGAGACAGGTCAAGGGGACATGCGGCCATGGGGTAGAATATCCTGATGTCAAAGAAGGATCGCTGTCTCCACGTCCATAATCCTCGAGCACTGACGTCCACACGGGCTTCGTTGGTTGTGTTGGAAGTCCTGTGATGGAGGTTCTCACCGTCAAATAGAAGGAGGGGCGGTTCCACCGTGACGTCATTGAAGATTTCCTTCAGTATATTTGCTGTTAGATCCCTTACTTCGTCATGCCTCCTGCATACAAAGCCCCCCCCCCTTCTTACACACCATGGCGTGGTCAATGTTATAAGATGAGCCAGACACGCATTGAGAGGGCAATGGCATCTGTAAATTCTTATTTATTAAGACTGAAGCCATTTGCTCTTTCCCGGTAACGTTGTTAGCCACCTCAAGTTTTCTAGCAATTACATCATCAGTTGTTGAATTTTATCATTTTGGGTGTGCTGCCGCTCTGTCGTAATGGACCGTCGAATCTTGTTTGATTCGTTGGTATCCACCTCACCTCTACATTCTGAGCTACTGTGTGCTCAGTGAGGGCTGCCGTGAGCTTAACAGAGTTCTGGTGTCCGGTGGCAGCAAGCTCCTCTGGATTAGTCAATCCCATTCCTCCCCGTCTCGGTGGTAGTGCAAGGAGTGACCTTTCTGCTGGGGTGAAGTAATGGCTTTTCATTAGTGTTGGAATAAAAGCAACAGTGATAACTTCTTCCAGAGGGTGAAGGAGAGGTCGGATATCAGGGATAGTGCGCATCAAGTAATTCCAGCGATGCTCGACTCCTTGGGAGAATGCCGCGAACGCCGCATGTGGCTCTGTTTTAGCAATATCAGACAGAGCTTGTATTTCCTTCACCCACTCATCTACCTTTCCCGTTACTTACTCGGTCTTGAAATCATTCGTGTCTATTTCCGCACTTAGGTGTCTTTGGGTGTTCTTTGTTATTTTGACTTCACTTCCGTTGAACACCTCTATAGCCCGGTAATGGTATTTTGGCTTCACAATGAGGAAGAACCTGCTGGTATTTGGGTGGTACCCTATATGTGTACCAATGTGATGTTTTCCGGTCCCACCACTTTTTGATGTCCTCCACTTTTCCTGCTCCTGTTAGGTCATCATATGTCACTTGCTTGACCTCGGTTGTTTCATAGTTTATTGGAGCACAGACAGGCCTAGTGCGTACATTGCCATGGCGACTGGATCCCCCTGCGTTGTTCCCTCAGTTGACTGTCTGACGGTATCTCCTTAGGGCCTTGAAGCTTGTTATATAGAGGTCTGTCGGGTTCCTATAGGTGTTTTCAACATACAATACAAAGCTTGGACACTTGATCTTGATGTTGTACAGTGTAGCCTTGCAATTGATTATGTTGAATGCGTTGGAAACATCAACTTGGAGTACAGCCTCACAATCATGCTGCTCAGATATGTTTCTCGTGGGGTGATTGGCAGCTTCACCCCCAGCCTGATGGCCAGCACAAACTTGCAGGTTCCCTGCAGCTGCCCTGACATCATTTACCACCTCCACTGTGCATTTTCCAGTGATCCGTCTCAGCACTTCCCCCACCCCTATAGGCCTACAACCTGGATTTTTTGCCCGTGGATGAGGTGGCAGGCCGTCAGAGCTTGCAGGTAATGGCAGCAAGAGGTTGCTAGCTTTCTGGCAAGGGCGGCGGTGGCATTGCAGAAATCACTTGCTGAGTCACTAAACCTGTTAGTGCTGAGGATGATTCTCTTCCCAGAGGCGGATTCAGGGGAGGGGGTGGGGAGCCTTAGGGGTTCGAACCCCCCAGTTTTCATTAGAATTCCCAATACTTTTCTTGAATGCAGTATTGTACGCATTTGGAGGGATATAGTCACCCTGGAACCTGATGCCTTCCTCTGCACTTGCTGGGGATGTTTTTCCTTCAGTTGTAGCGCTCTCCGCTGGGTGCCCTTCGCAGAACCCATCACCATACCCGGCCCGCCCTCACCCGGTATTCTCGTACCCTCCTGAAGCGTCCTTTTGCCTCCGGTGGTTATCCATCGCAACCTGTCGCCACCAACAAAACGGGAAATCAACGCAATATTCGCATCACACGGTCCTTCAACTTAAAAAACCCTTAGGACAAGTACCCACTACATAACCCCTTTATCCTGCCCTAAAACAACCTTAAACAAGACTAGAATCCCATAAACCTGCCCTAAACCCCCATAATCAAGTACAGGTCCTATTATCCAACCCTAAAAACCCTTAAACATGAACAGAACCCCTTAAATAATACTACCTACAGGTAGTAGGCAGCTATCAAACAGGGAGGTACTACCGCCTGGGAAGATATTGGAAGCATAATGTGTTGTCTAATGGTAGACCCTGCTGCCATATGGCATCACAAAAATTGTGACCAAGTCCCAGGTTGCTGATCTGACTTTCTGCCTCATTTACACACAATTGCAGGGTCTCAATTGTTTCTCTTACTATGGACAACACAACATACATATACTGTATTGTTCCTCACTATTAATCTTTTAAACAAAATTGTATTGATTTATGGTCCTTTATTATTATTAGTATTAGTATTAGCATTATATTATATTTTTATTTAATATTTATCTAAATTGTTTTATTAATCTTTATTATTATTATTATTACTACTATTATTAATATAATTTCGCCCCCCAGGCCCTGATGTGGGTCATTAACCTGTGCCCTGGTGGGCTAATCCCGTAAAAAAAATCTAACTCTAAAACCCCTTAAATAAGTACAGAACCCCTTTGCCCCCCCCCCCCCACCTTATCAGGGACTGGTGGGGGTCCGTCCAGGATAATAAGAGAATCAAATTCATGTGAAGTTTCTGATTATTTCCTTCCCTTCACAATCATCATAAAACTCTATCTATATGTCTGTCCATCTGTCCGTCCCGTCTGTCTCCCTGTCTGTCTTTGTGTCTGTGTGTCTTTGTCTGTCTGTTCGTCCCGTCTGTCTCTGTCTGTGTTTGTGCTTCCTTTCACCGTCTATCTTTGTGTCTGTCCGTGTGTCTGTGTTGTGTCGTCGTGTCCGTCCGTCTGTAGGTCTGTCTATCTATCATTGTGTGTGTTCGTGTCAGTCTATTTTTGTGTCCATCTGTCTGACTGTCTATCTTTGTGTCCGCCCGCTTGTAGGTATGTGTCTGTCCATCAGTCTATCTTTGTGTCTTCCGTCTGTCTGTCTGTGTGTCTGTGTGTATTTGTCTGTCCCCTGAGAGAAACAAAACCTCAGAAGATTGGTAAAAACAGCCCGAGAAAGTCTAAGGTGGAGGACTGTGGTCGCCAACCCTCAGATATAAGGACGGTACTCCCATTGGTTGATTGGATAGTCCATTATCATTAAATCATTATTATCAGTTATTATTATTATTATTATTATCAGTTTCACAACATCGCCATACTAGTTCGCGGAAGATTATAAACATCGCGTGCGTCATCTTGTCTGGAGTGGATGGACACATTGCCCTCACAGCTGACGGGGACTTGTTACCCGCGCGAGCTAGGAACATGAAGATAATGGACAACGACCCGATTAAAATTGGTGATTTGGCGACTATTTATTTAATGGGATTTTTGTAGAAGAGGTCAATAAAATGCTTATTTTTGTAGCGTTCGGGGATTTACCAAGTGGTGGACATCAGGTGAATTCATACAAGTCGTGTCTATATGTTGATATTGTTAACTTTATGCGTAGCTGGGTGAGAGGTAACCGAGGGTGAGTGAGTGAGGCGCACGCAGTGGGTGAGTGAGGGTGCAGAGGGTGGCGCGCGGCGGGTGACGGTGAGGACGACGGGAGGTAGCTAGCCAGTGTGTGACCGTCCCTCACATTGGGCGGGTTGTTGCTGCCAGCGCTACCAGCACACCACCCTACCCCCCTACACGCTGCACCGACCTACACTAACTCCCTCGTGACCTCCATGGCCTCCCAGCCCCTCGTCCTCCTACTGCTGGCCTCCTCACCGCTGTTCACAGGTAAGGACACCTTTGTCTACAATCACAGAAAACTGAATCGACGGAATATTTTTCGCGGTCTCGCTTCTTCGATCTCCCAACACCCTCCCTCCCCGTCTGGACTAAAGACCTCCACTTGAGGGTGTTATTTTCTCAGAATATCAGTCGATTTGGGGGGACGATGACGCAAAGAGAGAGAGTGTGTGGGTGTGGGGGGATCGTGTGCGCGCTGTCACCTGCGTGTGCTTGACGTAGTGAGGTAAGGAGGTAAGATGAGACGCTCGTGTAGCACTAAGGAGATTACTACAGCCTAGTCGAGGGTTCTTCCCCACACCACTCGAACCTGTGCCTCGTCCGTGATGTACAAACTTCTGGAATTCTCCTGAAACCTCACTTGTTGTTTTATGTCCCATTTTTATGCATCACTTCTATATCTCCAGTTCTTTCACATTCCGTACGTTTTCAGGCCGCTTATTTTAGCGCTTTAAAACATTTAAATAGGGCTAAGTTAGCGGGTGGTTCACGTCGCTTCGGTCTCTCTTACAACTAATCCTGCCTCTCCATCTCCCTCCTCTTCCTCCCTCTCCCCTTCCATCTCTTTGCCTCCCCTCCTCCTTGTGTCTTCACGTTGGGCTATTCTACCCCACTCCAGCACCGACCCTTTTATAATAGTTACATGGAGAGGGCCCGGCCGTGAGGGGAAGAGAGAAATGTAATCCCTGCACCTGAATACAACCGACGGAGGGAAACTGTAGGTGACGTGTTGTATATATTTAGGGAATTTTATAACAAGTTCCAATTGGTTTTCGTCTGGGTTTTTTTCTTAGAGTTATCGGCTGTGTATAGTTCTTTTCAGTTATTTTGAGCGATGTGAGTCTTGCATGTGTTTTAAAATAGATGTCGGATGTGTTTCGGCCATATTGGTGAAGCGTTTGTTGATGCTCAGCTGATGTAAACAAAAACAAAATTTCCCGCGCAAATCTTGGAATTTTGTGGTTTTTTTATTTCAGTTGAGGATTTAATTTCAGGAGTTAATTTGTTAATATATTTTTGTTTTGCCATTTGCTGTCGTAATTGATTTTTTTCTTAAAGTTTATTGATTTATTTTGTATTTCCGCCGGAATTTGTTTTTAAAGATGTTATTTTTACCAACTTCCTGGACAACAACAGTAAAAAAAATAGCGTGTTAGCATACAGCGCGCATTTATTATACTTAGTTTAAATAAGTGCTGGAGTTATATAATTTGTCAACGAGGCACATTATTAAGATAGTTAAAGTTAATGAGACAAGTTATGAAAGTTATCGTTGCTGCCTCGGTAATTGCTCTCTCTCTCTCTCTCTCTCTCTCTATCTCTCTCTATCTCTCTCTCTCTCTCTCTCAGCTGACATATTACAAAGCACAAAGCACCGGATGTCCAAGCGTTAACCCACAAAAATGTCCCAAGTTCTGTGACTTGCTAAACCGCCTCTAATTGGCCCTCAGAAGCAAACCACGTGTTTAGCGTTACCAGTTACAATATATTCATACATAATTGGATAACATTGAGACAGTTTGCTGCATTTGAGTACGAGCGTGTAATAATTGTAAAAACACAGTCAGTCAGTCGGATTCTCACAATATTGTTGTTGTTGACCAGGAAGCTTTTGGCGCCTAGGGTAATTTGCTCTTGCGTAAAATTTGTAAATTAGGTAGTTTTTCATCTCTCTTTGTGCGTATATGTATGTAAGCGTGTTGTGTGTGTGTAAAAATAATAATAATAATAATAATAATAATAATAATAATAATAATTAACGGTTTATTGAAAGCATGGCAGCCGGAAGGCTGAAAATATACAGTTACATAATTGGGGAATGGGTCTCTTGAGTTACAAATAATATACAGGTAACATAAGCGATACAAATATGATATATAATAACTAGGTGGGGAGAAGCTCAAACTACAGGGCATTTCAACATAGTGACAGTGTAAAAAGTAAGATTGACTGGGAGTGAATACACTGGTTGATTACAAGTGTGTGTGTGTGTGTGTGTGTGTGTGTGTGTGTGTGCAGTACAGGAAGCACCAGGTAAGCGAAGGTCCTCATATTTGATAAAGAGTATTCCGGCCCCCTAGAAGCTGCCAAGATCAAAGTGGAATATAATATAACTCTCTCTCTCTCTCTCTCTCTCTCTCTCTCTCCTACCCCCTCTCCTACCCTCTTTCTCTCCTCCTCCCCATCACCTCTTCATTCTCCCACCTCCACCTCCCTCCTTTTCCTCCTATACCTCTCCATCATCCATTATCTCCCTTCTCTCCCTCCCCTCAGCGTTCTATACCCCGGCTCCATAACTCCTGAGCCCAACATGGACCTGAATGGTGTACCTGGTCTTGATGTGAGCAAAAATAGATTAGATTTGGAAGTAAAAGGCTGGGAAGAAACTACTGAAATGTGAGTGAAAGATGATGAAGTGTGTGTATGATTGGTGGTGAAGGATGGTGAAATGTGTGTATGATTGGTGGTGAAGGATGGTGAAGTGTGTGTATGATTGGTGGTGAAGGATGGTGAAGTGTGTGTATGATTGGTGGTGAAGGATGGTGAAGTGTGTGTATGATTGGTGGTGAAGGATGGTGAAGTGTGTGTATGATTGGTGGTGAAAGGATGGTGAAGTGTGTGTATGATTGGTGGTGAAGGATGGTGAAGTGTGTAGATTGGTGGTGAAGGATGGTGAAGTGTGTATGATTGGCGGTGAAGGATGGTGAAGTGTGTGTTGGTGTGGATGGTGAAGGATGGTGTGTGTATGATTGGTGGTGAAGGATGGTGAAGTGGATTGGTGGTGAAGGATGGTGAAGTGTGTGTATGATTGGTGGTGAAGGATGGTGAAGATGATTGGTGGTGAAGGATGGTGAAGTGTGTGTATGATTGGTGGTGAAGGATGGTGAAGTGTGTATGATTGGTGGTTGGTGAAGGATGGTGAAGTGGTGTGTGTATGATTGGTGGTGAAGGATGGTGAAGTGTGTGTATGATTGGTGAAGGATGGTGAAGTGTGTGTATGATGGTGTGAGTGAAGGATGGTGAAGTGTGTGTATGATTGATGGTGAATGTGTGTGTATGATTGGTGGATGGTGAAGTATGATGGTGAAGGATGAAGTGTGTATGATTGGTGGTGAAGGATGGTGAAGTGTGTGTATGATTGGTGGTGAAGTATGATGGTGAAAGTGTGTGTATGATTGGTGGTGTGAAGTGTGTGTATGATTGGTGGTGAAGGATGGTGAAGTGTGTATGATTGGTGGTGAAGGATGGTGAAGTGTGTGTATGATTGGTGGTGAAGGATGGTGAAGTGTGTGTATGATTGGTGGTGAAGGATGGTGAAGTGTGTGTATGATTGGTGGTGAAGGATGGTGAAGTGTGTGTATGATTGGTGGTGAAGGATGGTGAAGTGTGTGTATGATTGGTGGTGAAGGATGGTGAAGTGTGTGTATGATTGGTGGTGAAGGATGGTGAAGTGTGTGTATGATTGGTGGTGAAGGATGGTGAAGTGTGTGTATGATTGGTGAAGGATGGTGGCGGGTATGATTGGTGGTGAAGGATGGTGAAGTGTGTGTATGATTGGTGAAGGATGGTGAAGTGTGTGTATGATTGGTGGTGAAGGATGGTAGAAGTGTGTGTATGATTGGTGGTAGAAGGATGGTGAAGTGTGTGTATGATTGGTGGTGAAGGATGGTGAAGTGTGTGTATGATTGGTGGTGAAGGATGGTGAAGTGTGTATGTAGAAGGATGGTGAAGTGTGTGTATGATTGGTGGTGAAGGATGGTGAAGTGTTGGTGGTGAAGGATGGTGGCGTGTATGATTGGTGGTGAAGGATGGTGAAAGTGTATGATTGGTGGTGAAGAATGGTGAAATGTGTGTATGATTGGTGGTGAAGGATGGTGAAGTGTGTGTATGATTGGTGGTGAAGGATGGTGAAGTGTGTGTATGATTGGTGGTGAAGGATGGTGAAGTGTGTGTATGATTGGTGGTGAAGGATGGTGAAGTGTGTGTATGATTGGTGGTGAAGGATGGTGAAGTGTGTGTATGATTGGTGGTGAGGATGGTGAAGTGTGTGTATGATTGGTGGTGAAGGATGGTGAAGTGTGTGTATGATTGGTGGTGAAGGATGGTGAAGTGTGTGTATGATTGGTGGTGAAGGATGGTAGAGTGTGTATGATTGGTGGTGAAGGATGGTGAAGTGTGTATGATTGGTGAAGGATGGTGAAGTGTGTGTATGATTGGTGGTGAAGGATGGTGAAGTGTGTATGATTGGTGGTGAAGGATGGTGAAGTGTGTGTATGATTGGTGGTGAAGGATGGTGAAGTGTGTGTATGATTGGTGGTGAAGGATGGTGAAGTGTGTGTATGATTGGTGGTGAAGGATGGTGGTGTGTATGATTGGTGGTGAAGGATGGTGAAGTGTGTGTATGATTGGTGGTGAAGTGTGTGTATGATTGGTGGTGAAGGATGGTGAAGTGTGTGTATGATTGGTGGTGAAGGATGGTGAAGTGTGTGTATGATTGGTGGTGAAGGATGGTGAAGTGTGTGTATGATTGGTGGTGAAGGATGGTGAGTGTGTGTATGATTGGTGGTGAAGGATGGTGAAGTGTGTGTATGATTGGTGGTGAAGGATGGTGAAGTGTATGGTGGTGGTGAAGGATGGTGAAGTGTGTGTATGATTGGTGGTGAAGGATGGTGAAGTGTGTATGATTGGTGGTGAAGGATGGTGAAGTGTGTATGATTGGTGGTGAAGGATGGTGAAGTGTGTGTATGATTGGTGGTGAAGGATGGTGGAGTGTGTGTATGATTGGTGGTGAAGGATGGTGAAGTGTGTGTATGATTGGTGGTGAAGGATGAAGTGTGTGTATGATTGGTGGTGAAGGATGGTGATGTGTGTATGATTGGTGGTGAAGGATGGTGAAATGTGTGTATGATTGGTGGTGAAGGATGGTGAATGTATGATTGGTGAAGGATGGTGAAGTGTGTGTATGATTGGTGGTGAAGGATGGTGAA